TAAACTTGGATTATTGTGATGTTGAAAGGTCTGCCTTGGATTCGTATTGACATCATTCTATCATTTTTGAGATTGTATGCCATTACGGCTTTTCCCACTCTTTTGTTGACTATGAGGGCCACTCCATTCCTTCTATGGGATTCTTGCTCATAGTAGTAGATATGATAATCATCTGAGCTGAATTCACCCATTTCTGTCCATTTTAGTTCACTGATGCCCAGGATGTCGATGTTTATTCTTGCCATCTCCTGTTTGACCACCTCCAGCTTCCCAACGTTCATAGATCTTACATTCCAGGTTCCTATGCAGTATTTTTCTTTGCAGCATCGGACTTTCCTTTCACTTCCAGGCACGTCCACAGCTGAGCGTTCTTTTGGCTTTGGCACAACCACTTCATTAGCTCTGGAGCTACTTGTACTTGTCCTCTGCTCTTCCTCAGTAGCATGTTGGATGCCTTTCGACCTGAGGGGCCCATCTTCCAACGTCAAATCTTTTAGCCTTTTGTTTCTGAACATGGGCCGTTCTTGGCAAAGATACTGGAGTGGCATTGCCATTTCCTACTCCAGGTGGATTGCATTTAATCGGAACTCTCCACTGCGTCCTGTCTGTCTTGGGTGTCCCTGCACGGCATAGCCCATAGCTTCTCTGAGTTACTCAAGCCCCTTCGCCATGACAAGGCAGCACTCCATGAAGGGGAAAGTACATAATACTTCTCAGTAATACTACTCTTGAAAAGTTTTGCAATAAATGCTGGGTTGCAACTATATATGCATTTCCTTCAGAGTACATCCTACTGAACTTGGCAGGCATTACTGCTGAGTACACATATCAATAGTTCAGGACTTCTATTTTTGCATAAAGTATAGCATAGCACTTCTCTTTCACAACACTTGAGAGACCTGTATTGTCCCTACCAAGCCATGGAATTCACAGAATGAGCTTGGATCAGCCAATATCTCAGCCTGACCTACCCCATATGGTTGTTGTGGAAAAGAGCCATGTACTCTGCCTTGTGCCCCCTGAAGCAGAGGTCCTCAACCTCCGGTTCACGGCCCGGTGCCGGTCTATGGCGTGAGCCAGACCAGGCTGCGGAGACAGACCTCCCCACCGGACACACTCCCCCCGCACAGCCACTTGGTGCCTGCATGTGTGCACCTGCGCCCACACAAGCACTCCCCCACCCCTTCGCACATACACACAAATGCCCCACATGCCCACATCAGCATTACGCCGCCCTTCACGCATGCATACAAGCACACCTGCCTGCTCCTTCACACATGCACATGAGCGCCGGGGGGGTGCCCTGCCTTCCCCAACCGGTCCGTGGGGTTAAAAAGGTTGGGACCACTGCCCTGGAGAACAAGCAGGATATAAACGTAACTAGCAGGATATAATGTAACTACAGCTATACAGATTTGTCTTTTGGGATGAGAACTCCCAGAATTCCTCAGGCAGGAAGGACAATCATCTGAGAGAGGCATGTAACCAGAAGCAACTGATAGTACAGCTGAATAAATTCATCAAAAAATTGGCATTATTTGTGTCTCAGGTGGGATCTCATAGATCAATATTCTGAAGAGTCATCGATCTACAGCCTATACAAGTGTCAACAAAAAAAATAATCTAGCATTTATAGTATGTCCACATATTGTTTTGAGTTGTTAATACTGCATTGCTAATTGTCTGTTTCAAGGCACATTGTATAATATCTTCCATTGCAGATAGTTAACACTGATGGATAAGAAAACTTCTTGCTACCTCTTCAGTTATGAATTTTAAACCATTTATAAATCAGAGCTCATAGCAGCTATGCCATGTGTACCATGACACTAGCTTATTTATGTTGCCAATTGTGGTGATCACCCTACTTTGGCTCATGTATGAGATTATTTGCATACACCAATGGGAGCTATTGGGAGGCAGAGCCAGAGAAACCAGAAGGGAGGGAGAATCAGATAAGTTTAGTGAGTGAGTTCAATCAGATAGAGTTTGGGGATCAGATAGAAAGGTTTGAAGGGAAGATAGTTTGGGTTTAAGGCAGAGAGAGAATTTAAGGCGCGAATAGTCAGACTGTTATCTGCATTTAAAATAGAAGAGGTTAAAGGAAAATACTGAAGCTTTGTGTAACTTTAAGAATATGCTTGAGAACTATTCCTGAAATAACGTGTAACCAATAAACCTCTTTTTATTTCAAAGTTAAGTACTGAATGGACCTCAGTCTTTCATAGGAAATATAGTTGATAAAGAGATCAACTGGTGGCAGCGTAGTAAAGGACGTGGTGGGATACTCGTGTGAGCTCTTTGTTTGGTGAAACAAGCAGGGGCCACATGGTTAAACCTTACACCGATGATTTAGGCAATTCATCTCTACTTTAGAGAAAAACATCAAACAGCAGTTTTATCTCATCATAGGTTTCTTCTATGTAATGTGAAAAACAAACATCTGCCACCTCATCAAGCTCTATATTCACCACAGAATATCAATAGCTACCATCAAAAGTGAATAGTAAAGGAGCTTCAGAAAGGAAACAGAGGAATTAAAGAGATCAGTAATTCACAATAGGGGAAAGAATTTCATGGGTGGTGGTGGTGGATGGGTTTAAATGCATTTTTCATGTAGAAAAATAAACAAAATAGGTACATAAACCACACAATATAAATATACACAACATATGTAGCCATATTGCAAGTAATATGTGAGTTACATGTATTTTTCTATAAACACAACCCTTCTATTTTGAATTAAGTGAAACCTATGAAACAAGGGCCTTGAGAAAGAAGACTATATATGGCTGGAACTAGATGACAAACATAAAAAATGTGTGCTAGGACAATACATGGAATCAGATGTAGCACTAAGGCACATGTGAAAAGACAGAAGGATCATAACTAGGTGGCTAGCTATACATTTCAAAACACTCATGTAGGAACAACTCAGATCTATCTATCTATCTATCTATCTATCTATCTATCTATCTATCTATCTATCTATCTATCTATCTATCTATCTATCTATCTATCTATCTATCTATCTATACAGCGTTTATATTGAAAATATAAATAAATGTATATATTTGCACATTACTTTTTCCCCACATAGCTACAGATACACAATAGAATACTGCAAGAAGTTAGATGACTGGAAGACATAAACTTTAACTTAGGTTAATTTTCCCCACTTCTCATGAATCATAGGAGAGAAGTACAAACAAACCATTACAGAGATTCTTTAACAAATTATTTGGAAATGCTTTAGATTGAAATATTGCATTTTAAATGTAATTTCTTGAGCATTGATACTTCAATAAATTATTCAGTGTTCATGTACATACAGTACAACTGGAATTTTGTGATGTAACAAAAATCCTTCACTTGAATTAGTCAACAGAACCATGAAAGACTTGCTATGATTACTGTCCCACAATCTAAAGCCAAGAAAATAATATTTCTATTTCTTTATTAATTATATTTTAAACTGCTCAATAACTGAACTGTTCTAATGGATATATGACACTTTCATTAGATTTTTAATGAATATCTCTGACTTTTCTATGCTATCTGCCCTGAAGTAATAATATGTAAATATACTGATATTAGTACAGGATTAGAAATGCCTATTTCTGGAAATTATTTCAACTTCTGTTGTAGTACCTAAGCACTGAGAGCATGAAAAAGCTTTCATTCTAAATGAGTTTAGGTAGTGTTGCTCACAGCTTTTTAAGGGCTGTATTAAAGGATTTAGAGAAACCTGTCTGAATATTATTGGGATAGAAATCTCAAAGATAACTAACTTACATAGCTCCATTTGTGTAGACTGTATCACTTCCCTCCACATACTGCACCTGGGCCGGGTATACATGCTGTACCTGTTGCACAGTTTGTACTTGTTGAACCTGCAAAAAAACAATTAGGCAATTCATGAAATGTATTTTCGATTTGGGCATTACAGTGTTATTAAAGGGCAAAATCTCCCACAAAGCTCATCAAAACTAATGGAAAATACAAAATCCATTTCTAAAACATCAAATAGCTAAATAATTTACAATAGCAAGTTACTTTTACCAGTTAAAATTGCAACAAGCGATAAAATTTAATTAGAAGCATAACACTTTAAAATTAATCAAATACAGCCACGAATACACAAATTGTTATATTCTTTATAGAGATCTATAGAGAGGGCTTTCCAAAGTTGTGATACCACCATGCAAAGGGCTCCATACTTGCCAGCAGATCTTCATTTTAGGACTCTGACCAAAGAGACTTCCATTTCAACATCAAGTTAGCTTCACCACCACATTATTTGGAATATCTTTCTTGATGAAGAAAGGAGATAATCTTGACAGTTTAAAGCTGAACATTTTTGTGGCCTCTGATCATTAACACTATTGTCCTAATACAGTACTGATTTTTCCATTTTAGTCTTTTTTATATCTGGCCTGCACAGCAGAGCCTGAGGCAGAGTAGGAGTTGAGAGATTCTAGTCCTTAATATATTCACAAGGCGGACCATTACATGGAGCAAATGGAACCGCAGAAAAGAGTTATCAGCGGCAGATGAAAAGACATATTCCAGACATCAGATCTATCTAACTGAGAAAGCACAGAGAAATAAACCTACTATAGATTTCTCAGAGACCGGGTCTAATTATTTTAGTATATTTGATGCCAAGGTTACTAGATCTCCTAGAAAAAAAAGTTTTGGTCTCTAAGACCATCAGGACGTTCTTATACAAAATAGGTAGTTCAAAAGAACACTGTGCTGTTTAAAATGCAAATACAAAACTTTTAAATCAGCTGACAGAAAAAGTGGGTGTTAACAACATGTTCCTAGAATCACCAAACCTTATCTAAGGCTGCCAAAGTTGCTCCATATAGACCTCACAACTGTGCTTTATAGCAGGAGTTCCCAACCCCCAGTCCGCAGCCCAGTACCAGGCCGTGGAGACAGATCTCCCCCCGCATGCTCTCTCCCCCGCATGCACAGGTGACTGCCCACCCGCGAGCATGCCCCACACACCCACGAGTGCGGGGGTGCCCTGTCCCCCCGCACACAGACCTCGCCCCTCCAACCAGTCCACGAAGTGGAAAAGGTTTGTTTGTTTGTTTATCTAACTTATATGTTGCCCACACTACCCAAAGGTCTCTGGGCGGCTTACAACAAGAAAAAAACAATAAAAAAGATAAAACAATTAAAATACAATTAAAATATATACTCTAAAAATTGCCATCAGGACCCAAAATTGATATTATTTCAATTAAAAGCCTTCTGGAACAGGAAGGTTTTGACCTGGCGCCGAAATGTTATTAGCATCGGCGCCAGATGAATCTCAACTGGGATGGCGTTCCATAGTCTCAGGGACCACTGCTCTATAGAATATTCTCTAATGTTCCAAAGGTGAAAAACAAAACAGTCTGGAACAACAGCACCAAAATCATTCTACTATATGTAGTTCTCAGTGATATGATAAAGGCAGTGATGCCTGAAAATATCCAATATGCTCTAAGGACTATGTGAATTTGGCTTTTCGTCCTCTTGTTCATTTTTTTTTTAAATCTTAGATGACAAACCAACTTTGTTGTGTCTCTTGTGTTCTGTACTGCTAGGGCCTAATCCCTCATTCTAAGAATTTTTCATTTCACTGTGCTGGCAATAATCAAAAAGCAGTAATGACTTCAAGATACAATGGTCTTTAGGGAGCAGTGAAACTTGACAGGTCCTCCATCCTCACAAATATGGATATAGTCCCGTCTTATTCAAACTCAGTCAGGCAAGTGATCTATCTCCCAGAAATAGGATTTATTCCAAATGCCACCCACACACTAAGTGATACCTCTCCATTAATTCATCTCATTGCATGGGCTATGAGAAACAGCAACGTCTACATTGGCGTGGACATGTCATGATAATGGCTGATGGTCAGATTTGAAAATATCTCCTGTATGGAGAATTAGTGCAGGGAACGCGCCCCAGAGGGAGACCACAGCTGTGATACAAGGATAGCTGCAAGCGGAATCTGAAGGCCTGAGGAATAGACCTCAACAGATGGGAAACCTTGACATGTGAGCATTCAGCCTGGAGGCAGGCAGTGCAACATGGCCTTTCCCATTTTGAAGAGACACTTGCCCAGCAGGCTGAGGCAAAGAGGCAGTCCTGAAACCAGCAAAATCAGGGAGCTGGACAGGGGAGAGATTGTATTTGTCTTCAGTGTGGAAGGAATTGTCACTCTCGAATTGGCCTTCTCAGCCACACTAGACGCTGTTCCAAGTCCTCTATTCAGAGCACGTTACCATAGCCTCGCGAGACTGAAGGATGCCTAATCTGATCTGCATGAGCTAAAAAAAAGAGTACAACACAGAAATTACACACCAACTCAGATGCAATTATTTTGCCTCAACGTGGTTCACAGGTTCAGCAATCAGTCACAAAGTACCAAGAAATAAAACATAAATAAAGCCATGGCAAAAAGTACTGCTGAAGTCAGAGTCACTGAGTAAATGTGCCTGTCTAAACGAAGATGATTGAGTCTGAATTGTTAAATATTATGACAATTAACAAGTAATTTTCCTATTTTTACTCCTCTAATGTCCGAGGCTAGGGATCCTCATAGCAACTTGGTTTGGATGTGGCAGCTTTCAACAATAATGCTCCTTGCAGTCAAATGAATCTCCAAGATTCTTCAGCCAATAAGATCCTCTTTTCAATTTATTTTACCTTGAATGATCAGCAGTAACGATGGGTATTTTTCATTTACATAACAGTGTGGCAATTAGCCCTGTCACTCCTGCCACTCACGCTCAAGAGCTTATTTGCATGAGCCTATGAGAGAGCTGGAGAGGCAGAGTCAATGGATATACCGTTACCCCGAAAATAAGACTTAACCGGAAAATAAATCCTAGAACGAATTTTCAGGATGTTCGTAATATAAGCCCTACCCCAAAAATAAGCCCTAGTTAAGTGAAACCCCGCCCTCCACCATTGTGCAGCAACCAGAAGATGACATGACTGTAAAATAAAACATCCCCTGAAAATAAGCTCTAATGTATTTTTTGGAGCAAAAATTAATATAAGAACCTGTCTTATTTTCGGGAAACACGGTTTGAGACTTGACTGAAGGAGGAGCAGTCAGATAGGGATAAGAGAGGAATCAGATAGAAATAGGAGTGAGATAGCAGAGAGATAAGGATGAGTCACTGTGTTTCCCCCCAAATAAGAGGGTCTTATATTAATTTTTGCTCCAAAAAACGCATTAGGGCTTATTTTCAGGGGGTGTTTTATTTTTTCCATCAACAACTATCTACATTTATTCAAATACAGTCATGTCATCTTCTTCTGGTGCTGCACAATGGTGGACGGTGGGGTTTCACTTAACTAGGACTTCTTTGGGAGGTAGGGCCTATATTACGAGCATCCTGAAAAATCACACTAGGACTTATTTTTCAGGCTAGGTCTTATTTTCGGGAAAACAGGGTAGGAAGTAGTTAGGGAACTGATGATGAGATAAAAAGAACTGGCTAAAAAGAGATAAGTTGGTGACGTGTTTATGAAATTGTGAACAAAGAGAAACAAAGTAATGAGGGAACTGATAAGCTAAGACCAATGAACTTTGATTACCTGTAAGATTTCTAATACTGTTTGAACTACTGTTTCACTGCAATAAATATGTTTTGGTTGTTCGCAAGACAAGTGTCCAGTCATACATTAATGGTAATGTGGATTCAGATAATCCACTGGTGGCAGCAAAAATGGGATGCGCCTGTGGGCCTTTGTGAGGGAATAAACAAGGGACACAGGGTTCGTGACAAACTGGTGACCAGCGGCAGGATTTGAAATAATCCAATCTGATAGTAAAAGGGATTCAAAATAATCCAGTGTAAAAAAGTGAATATTTTGAGTTATTCCTAGGAAGAAGGATGTGTGGATCTGAGGTGAATAAGCTGGTGACCTGCTAGAGTGATAGAGTCTCAGGAGAAGACTTAGTGGCAGGATTTCTAAACCTAGACCTGATGGAAGTCCTTGAAAAGGGAAAATACCTATTCAAAATAAAATATTTACCTCAGAATTTGTGAGATCAAGTGGCTAACTCAGAGATCCAGTCTAACAGAGAAAGAACAGGTGTGGATGGAGTGGAGTCCTTGGGTCTAAATAAGTCTGAGGGGATTATTAAAAGACTGAAGTGAAAAATCAGTTAAATAGAGAATTGTTTTATGTCTGGAGGTAGAGGGATTGCCTCAGACTGAGAAACATACTGGTCCAGGTAAAGTTAGTTGAACTGTAGCTGTTATCAACTGCAGAGTGAGAATGAGAGGTACACAGTACCACAGTGGGAAGAAGAAAAAAACAGCAGTCGAAGTATTTTAAACAGAGGCCTGACTGACTCAGAGATATAAATCAGTCCCTTTTTGTTAAATAAATATGTAAACATGCCACCTAAAAGAGTTAAAAAGCCATTAATAGATGTAGTGAATGCTCGAGAAGCTGAGGAGAATGTAAATGGGGATAGAGATCCTTTTCATGAGGTACCTGAGGAATTTGAGGAGGAATCCTCAAGAGAAATTATTAAAAATTCACTAGATCTTGAGAAGGAAATTGGAACAAGAATATAGACTTAGAGAGAAAGCCATGGAAGAGAAAATAGAACTTGAGAGGGAGAAAGCGAGGCTGAAGAAAGAGCTAGGGAACTAGAGTTCAAGAAGAGAGCTGAGGCCAGAGAAAGACAAATGGAACTTGAGCAAGAAAACAGGCAAATGCCTGTGCCCGTGCAAGAGAGAGAGTGCACTTGTTCACACATGCGTGCAAGTGCGGGAGGTGCCCCGCCTTCCCCAGCTGGTCCACAGACTTTAAAAGGTTGGGGACCGCTGGACAAACAACTTAAACAAGTATATTGTCTTCAAAA